CACATTTGAGTAAAAATGTATCAGTCTACTTCAATTCGTTCGGAAGCTAGAGTGATTTCCACCGAAGGACAGACGGACGGACATCTCTAAATCGACAAAGAATTTTATGCTGATCAAGAATATATATACTTTGTGGGGTCTAAAATGTATATTTCGAGGTGTTACAAACGGAATGACAAACTTAATATACCCTCCATACTATGGTGGAGGATAAAAAAACGGACATAGTCCCCATAATTGCAATAGGGTTATGTCCGGGCACCTTTGAGAACCGATTGGACTGCAGAGATAAGTTGAAGACCCTTTCGGAGGCATTCTCTGAATAAAAAACTCTTGAGAGACCTTTAAACAGGTTGTCTGATGTCAAAAATGTTGCTCAGAAAAAATTTCCGTTTTTCTTCTTTAGCAGAAACAATTTTTGTAATTACTGACACGCTCCTGCTACCTGCACAAAAATTTGTTTAAATGTAACCCTTTTCAAAAATATTTTTTTTTTTGGAAAAAGGTGTTTTCTCTTTTCGAAATGGGTTAATTGACAAAAGTACTTTGTCTAACAGAAATTTTTTTTCAGAGGATTTTTAGAAACAGGCCTCTTTTTCAAATGCTCTATAAATTGAAGAAGTTGTGAGAGTATATTATGAGAGCTCTTTACTGAAATTCGCTGGAAAGTTCTTTTTACAGGTATAATCTCCTGTTGATATGATCTCCCTCTGAATTTGCCCAAAACCCAAAGTGATTACAGAAAATCTCTTACAATGAATTCTACCGATATTATCCCTGACAAAGGAACCTCAATGTCCTTGCATCTTGAAAATAATTTTCTTTTCCTCCTTGATTTCCCTGTTTTGCCTTTCCTGGCCACCGCCACAAACAACCTGGCTCCTCTAGGTCTGTTCTAACACTATCACTACTGGATATTTTTCCAGAAATTTTTTATTTCTTTATTTTCAGAGGACCAATTTTAGCGATCCACAATGCCTCTCAGAGGGCTTGTATCTACGAAATTATTCCATTTTTTTCATTTCTTCTTTGAATTCCTATTATTTTGAGTTTCCTGGCTATCATCGAAAAAACAACCTGGCTCCTCTTGGTCTGTTCTAACACTGTCCCTCCTGCTTGGATAGTTTTCCAAAGATGCATGTATCGTGGTGATGTGATCCTAACTAATCCTAATAAAGATTTACACAAAATCTCAACTACTGGTTTTTGGTGTTTTCGACACCATCCTCTGTGGCAGAAGATTATGTAACATGTTAAGAATCAGTAGCTGAGTGCTGGATGACATAACTGTATGGCATTGTTAGATTTTCTTGCTATTATTTAATTAAATATTTAATATTCTACACAGGAGAGGGAGGGAGAGAGAGAGATGGATGGTATTTTCGAATATCAGAATCTTGGGAGAAGTTGGGGAGAGAAGAAGTTGGGAGAAGTGGCAGCAGGAGCGAAGAAAATCCCTAATAAGAAATTATTTGAAATGCTTTTCAACTCAATTCCACAATCTCCATGTGACATGGCACAACATCCCCCCCCCCCCTCCTCACCCACCAATTGGCCAGAGGGAAGTGCTGCGTCCTCTCCTTTTTGGGGGCTTTGGCCATGCTGATTGACAGACAACATTTAGCATTAAGTTGAGAGTAACCGACAAGTCAGAGACAGAGATTATGGAACTGTTGAAATTGATCAATTTCACATCACAGGCGATTTTTGCTTAAAACGATTAAAGAAGTCAACCTGGCAGCGGAGCAGCCATGCAGCCATCCAACCATTCGAACTTAATGCCCAAACTTGTTTGATGGCTATGGATGGAGGAATCAAATCTTGGGAGTGGGGAAGATATGTATTGCCTTGTATTAGAATTTAAGAATATTCTCCTTGCCTCCCAAGTGCCTCTCTCTCTCTCTCTTCCCATCCTCCTCCCAGTCATTTAGCATTAAATGCAGTGGAAAAGCGCATAAAACTTATGATTGACATCTTTTGATTATAACACCAAAGTGTGGCTATGGAAACTCGGGAATCGTCTGGAGTTCTCCGTCTCCTTCTTCACTTTTCTGTCGATCTTCGTGCCTCTTCGACCGCAGCCATCGTTTGTGTGGTATGGACAAAACGATTTTAATTTGATTTTTGACTTTGATCCTAAAGGTATTTTGTTCTCAGCCTCAGCTTCTTTGCATCAACTGAAGATTTCTCATTGATTTGTGAGAGTTCGTCTTTTACCCCCCCCCCCCCCCCCTCCTCCTCCCTTTGCTTCCCCTCGTGTGGTAATGTTGTTGCACGTTAAGTTTTGATTTACTAATTAATAGTTTGTCCGTTAAGTTTGACAGTTGAACATGTTTTTTGACAGTTCTTATGTGAATCGAATTGCTGGGACGTCGTCGTTTGAGGTCTGTGAGTCTGGCATGTCAGCAATTTGCTGGGGCCAGTGATCAGCCGGTCAGATAGTTAGTCGATGGCCAGATGTGCGGGGATTGGTGGTGGGGGGGGGGGGGGTTAGGAAAAGAACAAATGCTTGTGTTTCGTATGAGATATCACGCTGCGTTATGTGGGGTATTCAAATGTTGCATCACAGCTTATTGGAGTGGCAGGAAAAGTAAAAAAGTGTATAAGAGAATACAGGTAAGCTGTCGGAGAATGCGAGGGCAAAGGGAGGTCCTTTTTTCAAAAATACTTTAAATTTTTTATACCTTCAGGCTTCCACCCAATGTCTTCTCAAGAGGGCCAATAATACTAAAAATCAGCCAAACTGTGGCTAAGAAGGTTCCCGATGTAATCAGAGGTAAGCTGCGCAGAGGTAAGCTCGGACGGAAAATACGGACACAAAGGCATATTCTATCTTTCAAAAAGGCTTTAAATGGTTACGCCCCAGGCCTTCTTCCCAATCTGTCTTCTAAAGAAGCCCAAACAATTATAAAAATTATTGATCGGAGCAGGTTCCCGATGTGATCAATGCTTCGCAGAGATAAGCTATTGGAAAACGTTTTAAGGTTTTCTTCAGGTGACACCTCTCCAAAATCAACTCTTCGTATAAAAGAAGAGGCATACACGGCACTCTTGTCAATGTAATGTGTTTCTCCCTTCGGCTGCATAGAGTAAAATGTAGGGCAGGGTCTCCATAAGGACCCACTTAAATTTTATGATATTCCCCTATCCCGTAGGGTTTTAATCGGATGGTTTTGAATACTACTTGAAATCAACATCGAGTTTTGACAAGTTGTAGGTATTCGAAATTTCGGTATTGGCGTTCGGAATGTTCATGATTTGCCAAAAAAGTGGAGAATTTTTTTTGAATGACCCTCGGCTGTTGAGGAGTTATGGGACGGTTTGTAGAGCAGTGATAGAAGACGATTTGAGGGTAATCGGAAAATCTGATATGTGGACTTTAAATGTTGTTGAGTTGTATGTCGCAAAAGGTGTGTGGGGAACTTCTTGTGTCGCAATTGGGGTTCGAATCGGTAACTCAATATTGGGGTGTTAGTGTGCAGATTTTCAGGTCGTAAAATATCAGTTGGGAACTCGATGATATAACGCTCCGATCGAAAACTCAATGTGGGAATGTGTGGATGCAGCTCTTTGCATCGTCGCCAATAGTTAGGCGGTCGGAAATAGAGGACGCTAAAGTTTATAAGCATCTTTACATTCACTACCAATATCTGGAGTAGGATTAGAAAAACGAGCCAAAAATCAGGACCCAAAACGACTCGATTCCTGTAGAATAACGAACCAAAACTTCTGTGGAAAAAAGAGCCTAAAATACTGAGGAACATCGAGTCGAAACTCCAGCGCATCCACGAAATAAAGCTCCAGTGGAACAATATACTAAAACTTCAGTGAAACAACGAAGCGAAATTTATGTAGAACTTCCAACCGAAACTTGTGTGGAAAAATGAGTCGAAACTTCAAAGGAACCAGAACTCCTTTGGAATAACAAACCGAAACTTTTGTGGAGCACCGAATTAAAATTTCTGTGGAACAGCGAGACGATTCGAAACTTCTCTGAAAAACTGAACCAAAATTTCTGTGGAACAACGAGAGATGGTTCGAAACTTCTGTGGAGCGGTGAGAGAAAACTTCTTTAGAGCACCGAACCGCAACTTCTGTGAAACGACGAACCGAAACTCCTGTGGAATACCAAGTTGAAAGTCTAGTCGAACACAGAGTTGAAACTCCTACGGAACAATGATTGGAAGCTGTGCGGAATGACGAAAAATTTTCCGTGGAACAACGAGACGATTCGAAACTTCTTTGAAAAATCGAAGCGAAACTCTTGTGGAACAACGAGTCGAAACTTCTGTGGAACGATGAACGAAAACTTCTTTGGATCACCAAACCGCAACTTCTGCGAAACAACGAACCGAAACTTCTGTGGAATACCAAGTTGAAACTCCAGTCGAACACAGAGTGGAAACTCTGAGGAACAATGATTGGAAGCTGTGCGGAACGACGAAAAAGTTTCCGTGGAACAACGAGACGATTCGAAACTTCTATGAAAAAACCGAACCGAAACTCCTGTGGAACAACTAGTCGAAACTTCTGTGGAGCGATGAACGGAAACTTCATTGGTACACCAAACCGCAACTTCTGCAAAACGACGAACCGAAATTTTTGTGGAATACCAAGTCGAAAATCCAGACGAACACAGAGTTGAAACTCCAGTGGAACAATGAGTGGAAACTCCTGCGGAAAAAGACGAAAAGGAAGTTCCTGTGGAACATCGAATCAAATCTACTGTGGACCAATGACCCGAAACTCCTGTGGAACACCGATTCAAAACTCCTATGGGACAACGAATCAAAACTCCTGTGGAACAACGAGTTGTAACACCTGCGGAACAACGAAATGAAGCTCCTGTAGAATATCGAATCTCCTGCTAAACGACAAAAAGAAGCTCCTGTGGATCGATCGATTCAAATCTACTGTGGACTAATGACTCGAAACTCCTGCGGAACACCGAGTCAAAATTCTTGTGGAACAATGAGTTGGAACTCCTGCGGAATGACGAAATGAAGCTCCTGTGGAACATCGCATCAAATCTACTGTGGACCAATGACTCGAAACTCCTGTGGAACACCGAGTCAAAACTCCTATGGAACAACGAGTTGGAAATCCTGCGGAATGACGAAATGAAACTCCTGTGGAATATCGAATCAAATCTACTGTGGACCAATGACCCGAAACTCCTGTGGAAAACCAAGTTAAAACTCCTGTGGAACAACGAGTTGGAACTCCTGCGGAACGACGAAATGAAGCTCCTGTGGAATATCGAATCAAACCTACTGTGGACCAATGACTCGAAACTCCTGTGGAACACCGAGTCAGAACTACTATGGAACAACGAGTTGGTACTACTGCGGAACAACGAAAAGAAGCTCCTGTGGAACATCGAATCATATCTACTGTGGACCAATGACTCGAAACTCCTGTGGAACACCGAGTCAAAACTCCTATGGAACAACGAGTTGGTACTCCTGCGGAACGACGAAATGAAGCTCCTGTGGAATATCGAATCAAAGCTCCTGTGGAACACCTAGTCGAAACTCTTTTGAAACACCGAACTCAAACATCTGTGGAACAACGAGACGAGTCGAAAGACCTGTGGAACAAGTCTAAATTCCTGTGGAACCACCAATACTTCTGCGGAACAACGAGCCAAAACTCCTTCGGAACAACGAACAGAAACTTCCGTGGAACATCGAACCAAAAATCCTGTGTGGAACGAATCGAAACTCCTGTGGAACAAAGAGCCGAAACTCCTTTGCAACGACCAAAATGAAGCTCCTGTGAAATAACCAACCAAAACTAATGAGCCAAAACTCCTTCGGAACAACGAGCCGAAGCTCCCGTGTTTAGTTGGGCAAGTCCTCGCCGTTATTTATTTAAGTATATTTCCATCAAATTCCCTCAACAATAATTTTAATACCTTACGGCTAACATTAGTTCCGTATATCTATACTTAGCATAAGACTTACTTTTTCTAAGTTTATCTATATAATACTTAACTGAGGCTACGGTGATGCTGTGGCCTTTCTCTATACCATGTTAAAATTACAAATATACTTATAATTACACTGATAACGATGAATAAACGGTGGAGTACCTAAAACTCCATGTTCAATCTCTAAAACTCCATGCTCAACCAAGTGTATGAGAATTATTTCCTTTGTATAATTCGCGGTATTTCATAAAGTTAATCTTTTCACGGTCTTATTCAGGACACTTTCTCTCTCTCTCTCTATTTTTTGCATATAACATTCTCCTCTCCATATTTTCTGAGGCCTACCTATGTCCCTGGCATTAGCTCCGCTTAGCTTATGCTATTGATTAATTTCAAGCTATTTATTTATTTTTTTTTTTTCAGAAAAAGTTAAAAAGATTAAAACGAAATCAGCTCAATAAAATGTGGTGCAGCTTTGTGGCATTTTTCCACCAGGCTGCTGCTGCCCCACAGCTGATGCCTATCAATTGTCTAAGCGTTGCTGAGATATAAAATTTGTTTTTGTTTTTCGGAATTTTTGACATATCGATGGCGGCAATGACAAAGGAAGTCATAAAACGTTGTTGTGGCCTTGCAGGAACTTCAACTTAAAAAAACAACAAACGAAACCGAATTGTCGGCAAAAATGTCCTGACACATTTTAATGATGTTTGGAATTCTACACAAAACAACAACATCATACAAAAAAAATTGGATCAGCGACGGATTTAACATCCTCACTCGAAAGATTTGTAATACAAATCCAATGATAAGATTTTTATGGCCAACAACCAAACGACCAAAAAAAAACAAACAACAAATCAAAGCACCGATCTCCAGCTTGACGTTGCACTGCATTCTGGATCAGAACCGAACAGAACAACAACCCAAACTACTCATAAAATTTTCGTCACTGGGTAAATAATTAACACGCGCTAGTCTTCTGTTCTTTGTTGAATTCATTCACGTTTTGTAATGAAATGTTTTCATTATTTGTAACCCACCAAAAACAAGAGAAGGAACACAACAAATCTTATTTGTATTTCCAACCAATGTAAACACGCTGTGACAGGTTGTAGGGTATAGCCGAATGATTACTTACATCGAGTGAGTAAATATTTAACGGTGGAAAAATATTATCAGAACATTGATATGTGAATAACGTAATAAACGAGGCGGGCACAAACATGGACGACAAATACAAATTCGGAGTAATGAATATTAATTTATTCGAGTGATCTCCCTGGGGGAAAAGGGGAGCCCCGCTTTTGGGTGATAAAAAATTTGGGAAATTTTCTATCAAGAAATTAATCAGCCAAGTTAGATCCATAAACATTGTAATTAAAGAAAAATTGAAGTATCAAATGTAACTCCATTTGAGAGAGGAAAGTCTCACCTGTATCCCTATGTAAATTTTGTGGACATAACTCCCAAATTAACAGAGATACAGCTAAATTGCTACCGGTTTAGACATTTAAAAAATTATTATTTATCTTGGGTAATCACATTCAAGAGGTCATAACTTCTGAATTTAACCCGCAATCTTATTAAAAAATGACTATTTATTAAAGAACACCCTCTCCTCTTTCCTTTAATGCAATTAACATGGATGTAGCTCACAAAATGCCCAAGATATGGCTAAAGCAAGGCAGTCGACGAAATATACGAACTTTTAGTCTATTTTGGGTAATCGTGTTCCATGGGCTATAATTTCTAAATTATTCGGAATATTTGAATGAGATAAGTTAATTTGGGTAGAATGGAATCTACCATTAGTATACTGCAAGTTACCGGGATAAAACCTGACAAATTCCAGAGATATGGTCAAATAAATTGTTGTGCGAAAAAATTACATATTTGGATATTTTTTTGGAGGTAAAAAAAACTGAATTAATTCGCATATCTCAACTAAAATTAAAGTATGAAATGTAACTCCGTTTGAGAGAGGAAAGTCTCACCTGTATCCCTATGTAAATTTTGTGGACATAACTCCGAAAATAACAGAGATACAGCTAAATTGCTACCGGTTTAGAAAATTAAAAAAATATTATTTATCTTGGGTAATCACATTCAAGAGGTCATAACTTCTGAATTTAATCCAAAATCTTATTAAAAATTTACTAATTATTAAAGAACACCCTATCCTCTTTCCTTTAATGCAATTTACATGGATATAGCTCACAAAGTGCCCAAGATATGGCTAAACCAAGGCAGACGACGAAATATACGAATTTATAGACTTTTGCAGGCTATCCTGTTCTATGGGCCATAATTTCTAAATTATTAGGAATATTTGAACGAGATAAGTCAATTTGGGTAGAATGGAATCTACCATTAATATACTGCAAGTTACCGGGATAAAACCTGACAAATTCTAGAGATATGGCCTAATAAATTGTTAAGCGAAAAAATTACAAATTTGGATATTTTTTTGGTTAATCCGATTCTGGAGCTAGAAAAAGCTGAATTAATTCGCATATCTCAACTAAGTTTGAAATGTAACTCCGTTTGAGAGAGAATGTAACTCCCTATGTAAATTTTGTGGACATAACTTCCAAACTAACAGAGATACAGCTAAATTGCTACCGGTTTAAAAAATTGAAAAATTATTATTTATTTTGTGTAATCACATTCTAGAGGTCATAAGTTCTGAAGTTATCCCGCAATTTTAATAAAGTTTGACTAATTATTAAAGAACACCCTCTCCTCTTTCCTTTAATGTAATTTACATGGATATAGCTCACAAAGTGCCCAAAATATAGCTAAACCAAGGCAAACGACGAAATATACGAACTTTTAGTCTATTTTGGGTAATCGTGTTCCATGGGCCATAATTTCTAAGTTATTCGGAATATGTGAATGAGATAAGTTAATTTGGGTAGAATGGAATCTACCATTAATATACTGCAAGTTACAAGGATAAACTCTGACAAATTCCAGAGTTATGGTCAAATAAATTGTTGTGCGAAAAAATTACTAATTTGGATATTTTTATACCCTCTACCAAAAAATGTATATTAAGTTCGTCATTCCGTTTGTAACTCATCGAAATAATCATTTTAGACCCAACAAATTATATATATTCTTGATCAGCGTAAAATTCTAAGACGATTTAGCCCTGTCCGTCCGCCTATCCGTCTGTTGTAATCACGCTACAGTCTAAACGAATTAAGATAGGAAGCTAAAATTTTGCACAGATCCCTCTTTTGTCTGCAGGCAGGTCAAGTTCGAAGATGGGCTATATCGGTCCACGATATCGTATAGCCCCCATATAACGGTACCTTCGATATTCGGTATTTTGATGATGTTAGCCACATTTTTCAACGGAATTGTCTTAAAATCCACACAAGTAATTCCTTGCGAGTAATTTACCCCCTGAGAGAGAATTGTCTATGCAGGTCCACGATATCATACATCGCCCATATAACGGTACCCCCGATATTCGGTATTTTGATGATTTTACCCACATTTTACAACGGAATTGTCTGAAAAATCACACAAGGAATTCCTTGTGGGTACTTTATACCTCGGCAGAGAATTATCTATATAGGTCCACAATATCGTATAGCCCCCATATAACGGTTCTCCCCTATATTCGGTATATTGATGATTTTAGCCACATTTTTCAACGGAATTGTCTGAAATTACACACAAGGAGTTCCTTGTGAGTACTTTACACGCAGACATAGATTTGTCTTTATAGGTCCACAATATCGTATATCCCCCCATATATCGGCACCTTCCTATATTAGATATTTTAAAGATTTTAAAAGATTTTTTATTGGATTTAATTTTTGTGAAAATTTTCTAATTCGTTCCAAATGGTGGAGGGTATTCAAAGTTCGGCCCGGCCGAACTTACAGCTTTTTTACTTGTTTTTTGGCATGTGCCACTTCTTTCCTGGTTTTGAGGTAACCCCATATATTTCTGTCTGATACTATAATCCAGTATTTGACTCCCTTTTCAAATCTTTTTCAATTTCCTGTCACCCCAAAATAAATTTTCGAAATCCCACCAATCCCTACTATTTACCTCATCAGGTTCATAAAACTCAGATTTTTATTTTTTTTTTTTTATCAAAAGTTATTATTTCAAATGATTATCGTAAGGCATTAAATAAACACAACAACACCAAATGAAAACAAAAACAACAAAAGTAATTGTTCATATCCAGATCTCCGACAAATAAACAAGTGTATGGACCAATGAACCACAAAAACCGACAATTCCATTCATCCATCCATCACGCTGTGTGTTGGTGCATTGTACAACAACTCGAGGGACATGCATACATACATGTGTTTTTTTGATTCGGAATTACAGAACAAAAATATGCGCCTACAGATATATTGATATGTAAATATGTAAATGGTGGGCCATATCGGTTGTAAAACAGCCAAATAAAAAAACACACACACACACAAAATGCGGGCCTTCTAAAGGGTCCGACCGTCTGTCCGTCCGTCCGTTCCACCTACCATCCGCTTACTTTATGATTGTGTGACATGCGTCCATCACAAATTGTTCGCCTATCAGCACCACCGTTTTAATGTTGCA